GCAGCAGCAGCAGCAGCAGCAGCAGCAACAAGCACAACAAAATCAGCAACAAGACCAGCAACAGTATCCAGCAGCAGCAGTAGCAGCAGCAGCAGCAGGAGCAGCAGGAGCAGCAGGAGCAGCAGGAGGAGCAGGAGCAGGAGCAGGAGCAGGAGCAGGAGCAGGAGCAGGAGCAGGAGCAGGAGCAGGAGCAGGAGCAGGAGCAGCAGCAGATGTTGGCTTCTCGGATCGAATCTTCTGGTAGTCTGTGTCCCTGGTAGAAGTCTACGAATGCGGGAGTGGTTGTTGTCGTGGTTTCGGGTTTAGGGCCCAGAGTTTAGGGAGTATTGTAGTTTTGCTATTTAGGGTTTAGGGTTTGGGGACTCTACAGAAACAGAGGCCAGGGCCCCGACAGACCCGAAGCTCAAGACTGGATTCAGACAAGAACCTTGCCCGCCAAATCTTTTGAAGGTTTGAGGCTTCCCCAAAGGGTTGTCGGCCTTCTCCACTCCGCCAAATCTCTTGAAGTTTTGCCCAAGGTCCTTTTTGCGTTCTCCTCCTCGCCAAATCCTTTAGCTCAAGATCCTTTTGGCGGTTTCCACTGCACCAAATTAAGGTTTGCTCAAGGTCCTTGTCACGTGCTCTACCGCGCCAAAACTCTTGAAGGTTTGAGGTTTGGGCGAAGTCCTTTCTCCACCCCCCCAAATCACCTCGCCAAGTCTCTTGGAGGTTTGAGGTTTACGTGAAGTCCTTCAGTATTTAAGTGCCCTCCACCCTACCAAATCTTTTGAAGGTTTGAGGTTTGAGCGAACTCCGTTAAGCGCTCGCCACCAATCTTTTTGAAGGTTTGAGGTTAGCTCAAAGTCCTTCAAGCGCTCTCCACCCAGCCAAATCATCTCTTGAAGGTTTCAGGTTAGCGCGAAGTCCTTCAAGCGCTCTCTACCCCGGCCAAATCTGTTGAAGGTATCAGTGTCAGGTTTGCATGAAATCCTTTAAGCGCTCTTTGAGGTTTGGAAGTCCTTGACTTAAAGGTTTGAGGTTCGTGCGAAGCCGTTGAAGGATTTTAGTTTGCGCAAAGTCCTTTGAGCGTCATCCTTCCAAACATAAACATGTTTGCTGGCCATTTGTGTTCGAACCTGCAACATACCCAACTCTTACCCAAATCTAAACGTCAAGTTTTTCGGCGACCTCTGAACCCCAAAGCCCGTCTGCCTATCGTACTGGGAGAGCAAGTGCCAAACCTTGCTGGGTGTTCGAAGTTGAAGCTCATGAGCAGTCGGAGATGTGGAGTGGACCAGTAGTATGGGCCAGTGCAAATCTTAAGCCACTTCGCCCTTCGGATGTTCGGTTCAGGTCTCGTGGGGATCACTTTTGGCACTTGCCCCGTTGAGCCTCCGCAAGCAGATTTCAGCGGCAGCGCTGCGCCGCTTAGCGTGTCAGGACTCCTTCCTGCTGGGGATGACCTTCTGGCTGCCCTGCGGCCTCTTCTGTGTTGCTTGACTCGGACTATGCTAGACTGCTAGTGTAGGTTTGTCGACAACAGCTCTTTGGCCTTTCGTCATCGATTTGTGGCAAGTCTTCACACTGAGCCTTCGTAGCAGAGGAGTGTCTCAGCAGCGCCAAGCATGTCAGTGCTCGCCGCATGCCTTGAAATCACCATTTTTCGTCGCGTCAGGCTCTCACAGCTTGTACTGTGCCGCATGACGACCTGTCGGACAAGCCGGAGGAAGCTACTCGGCCACTGCTTGCACTCCCCGCATCCGAACTCCGAAGCTTTGAAACAAAGGTCTCTGCGACTGCTCGCTGATGCGGGCCGAAGCGCCCGATCCCCAGGCCCGGAAAGACGGGCGCATCTGGCCATGCCAGAGGGGAGAAAAGGCTGCTTCAGCGATGATGGGCCAGAGCCAAGAGAGCGCGCGCATGCTCGCGCGCGTGCGCATGCCTAAGCCACCGACCGTGAACCAAACTGCAGGCCTACCCGTGAAGATTTAGCCTCGACTGCTCTGACCTCAAAGCTCCCCAACTGCAATCACTGCTGGCGTGCTGTGCTCCCACGTGAGGCTTTTTGTGAATGTTGATGCAACCAGCCTGGCTCAATCTCAAGCTAGGGTAAAACGTACTCGTTTTCGTACAGGATCCAAACGCGCAGTGTGCTGACCGGCAAACACAAGCAGTCGATATGCCTTTGCAATCAATGAGAACATTGCAACCTGAAAGCTCAAGGACGTGAGGACGTGAGATAATGTGAGAGTGTGTGCGGAGAGTCTTCGTAGACGTTAATTCAGCTGCCCGGAGCCCAAGAAGGGCTACGTTGCCAGCTCACGATGGCGTCCACGGTCTTCGCCGAGAGCTTACAAGACGTTTCAGTGCCCAAAAGGCGAAGGTTCGCCTGGTGTTGCCACCTGTCAGCCAGACGAGCCCTCTTGAGAAGCTTCATCTCTGATGCCAAGGTCGTTGCTCTTTGGTGCCTGGTGTGTGCTAGAGCCCAGCTCTTCGGTACGATTTCTTGGGAGAGTCTTGACTATAGTCACTAGTCTTGTGGACACGAGATCCGTGCCATCTCAGGATAGATCGGTCGACCAGCTCCACTACGCGGGCTTTGAACATGGTGCAGCGTAGACTCACCGCCTCATTGCAGAGTGGAAGAGAAGAAGTCGATGCCTTTGAAGCCGTAGAGGGCGGGACGGATCGTGTTTGTCGCGGCAGCAGTGCCTCAGATGACGACAATTCCTATTATGTGGTGCATGGTGGAAGCCGAGCAGCGAGCTTGGAGTCCTGTAAGAATGCCTGTGTCGACACGGAAGGATGCAGAGGCATCGAGTGGAGGCCAGGACGCTGCGAAGTCTGGACTCGTGTTGGTGGCATCCAGGCAACCGCGGTGACTGTCGGTCCTGTCTGCTTGCGGTATGTGCCCTTTGTCCTTGCAGAGGGCAGGCTGGACCGTGCGTGCCGGGGCGGAAGCGTGTCTGACAACAACCCAGCATACTACGAGATCATGACTGCAAGCTCTTTGGAGGCTTGCCAGGACTTATGCTTGGGTTTACCAGCTTGCTTGGGCATCGAATTCAGCGGTACTCGCTGTGAGCTGTGGACGCGATCTGAGCGAATTGCCGCAACAGCTTCTCTTTCGCAGAGTGTTTGCCGGAGGCTTAACGTGTTGCTGCCCAGTGTGCTGTTACCGCCACGTGCTTGCCTTGTGACCTGAAGCTGTAATAGCCAGTGCACCCAGGTCAGCCATTGGCGCCATTCGTCCAGGTGGATGGTAACGATCGAGCATGCCGAGGTAGGGACGAGTTCGACAATGAGACGAGCTTCTTTACGAGTCACTCCGTGTCCACGGAAGGCTGCAAGTCTCTCTGCGCGCAAAGCCCGCTGTGTCAGGGTGTTGAGATCTCAGGCAGCGATTGCAAGGTGTGGACCCGGGCCTCTGGGATCCAGACCACAGTGCAGCTGGCCGGCTCCATCTGCCTCCGTGCCGGGACACTTGGAGTTCCCGATGCGTTTCCACGAGTCGATGGCGGCTTGGACCGAGCCTGCCGTGGCCAATCGACCTCCGACTGGAGCCCGTCCTACTTCGTGTACTTCAACGCTGCGCAGGCTCCCACGCTCGATGACTGCAAGGCCAGGTGCCTGAAGATCGCCGATTGCAAAGCTATCGATTTTAGCAGCAACGGCTGCAATGTGTGGACGCGACCCGTCACCACCTCAATCAGCTTCAGCGGATCCACCTGCTTGAAGTATGAACCCTTCGTGGGCATTGATGGGGGAGAGAAACGTGGCTGTTTTGGTCCGCCACCGTATCAAATCAAGACCTTGACTTTTCCAGCTGGAGAGATCGCCGACCAGTGCAAGTTTGAGTGTGCGAGAACTCGAGCATGCCAAGGCATTGAATACAGCAGTTCCGGATGCAACATTTGGACATCCAACATCTCAGGAAGCTACTCCAGCGAGACTCGGACCTGCCTGCGCTATCAGCCTCTCATACCGGTCGGCGGTGGCTTAGATAGAGCTTGTAGTGGCATGGACCCCACTGATGCCTGGCCAAGCTACTACAGTCTCACGAGTTCCGAATCTTTCTCCCTTGCCTCGTGCAAGACACTGTGCCTTTCAACCATCGGATGCAAAGGCATTCAGTACACAGCAGGAAACTGTCAGGTTTGGACTCGGCGCGGAGGCATCCAGTCTTCCAGGGATCAGAGTGGTTCCTTGTGTCTGCGCGTGGGTGGCGGGGACATTTGGGAGGATGCCAGCGCCTTCATGTCAATGGATGAAGGCCACACTTGCGGCGGTGAGGGATTGACGGCCCTCGTGCACGGGCCTGAGAGAGCCGGATCTTTGCAAGACTGTGAGTTGAGATGTGCATCCATGCCTGGTTGCAGAGGGGTCGATTTCGGAGTAGGAGGATGCAGAACGTGGCACGGGCCTGGAGTGGTCATGGCAGCTGCAGAGCCGGGGTCGACTTGCCACCGCTTCTTGCCGTTTCGCGACGTGGACGGGGGCGAAGGCCGCGCTTGCAGGGGCTTGCAGGGCCCGGAAGATGTGCAGAGCTCGTACTACCTGCAGCGCTCGGCCGCATCGTTGCAGGACTGCCAGGACCTCTGTGTGAGGCAGTCCGAGACCGATGTGACAAGCTGCAAAGGCGTCTCTTACGACTCGGTCTCCGGCACCTGCCTCGTGTGGACTCTGGCAATCGGGGCCACCGCAGAGAGCTCAACGTCGGTCTGCCAGCGCTACGAGCCTTTCGTGGAGATGGGCCGGGACCGGGCGTGCCGGGGGTCTCACTCTCAAGATATATCTGACAGCTACTACACCTCTCAGAACTCGTCCGAAGCTCCTAATCTGGAAGCATGCCGTGTCCGCTGCCAACAGTCCTCCAGCTGCAGAGGCCGGAGGTCTTCCAGAGCTAGTCCAAGGAAATGTGTAGGAGTGGGCTAAAAAGAAGGCTTTTTCCTTGTGTCCAAATTTGCATATGTGTCTGTCCTTTCGCGAGGAGTTGAGTTCGGTCCGGATGGCTGCAAGATGTGGAATCGGGACGTGCGGGCAACAGCCGAAGCCTTTGGTTCCATTTGCCTACGGCCCCCCGAGCTTGCAAAAAGATGTGCTTGCTGTGAGGAGACCATACATGAGTAAGAGAGTACACATGTTCCTTACTGGACTTATAGTGAAGCGTTGGCTGGCTTTGCAGAGTCTCTCTCATGCCTTGCATCTGCATCCTCCGAGGTTGGCGGTGCAGCGGCTGGAGGAGGTCGCTGAGTCGGCGGATGCCTTCCAACCGGTGGAGGGCGGCAGCGGGCGTGCATGCCGTGGGGCCGACAGCACCGACACCAACGCGGCGTACTACGACTACTACCACCCGTCAGTTGTGACCACGATGTCCGAATGCAAGGGCTTGTGCATTGAGACGTCGGGCTGCCAAGGCATCCAGTTCAGCATTCACGGCTGTCAGGTTTGGACCCGTCCGGCGGGCATCCAAAGCACCGCCCCATCGCCCGACCTGACCTGCCTCAGTTACAAACCTTTCCGTCTCGTGGATGGCTTCACTGACCGATCCTGCCGTGGGACCAGCGTGCAGGACAATGCTCCCTCGAACTATCTGAGCCTGACGGCTCCTTCCCTGGCAGACTGCCAGAGCGCCTGTGCACAAGAGCCTGGGTGCAAGGGAGTTGAGTACAACGTCAGTGGCACGGCATGTGAGGTGTGGGCGTTGCCCTCAAGCATAGCGGCGAGCGTTGCTTCGCAGGGAACCACGTGCATGAGGTACGAACCCTTCGTTGCAGTTGATGGTGGCTTGGACAGGTCATGCCGCGGAGCACATGCAGAGGACGACTGGCCGAGTTACTACACGGTCCACGAGTACACTTGGCTGTCTGGCCCATCCATCGAGGAATGCAAAGAGAGATGCCTGTCTACGCCTGGTTGCCGAGGCGTGGAATACACAAAAGGACAGTGCAAAGTTTGGACTCGACAGGGAGGAATCCAGTCCAGTGCTCCAAGTTCTGGATCCTTGTGCTTGCGCTTCGGTGCCTTTGATTCCCTGGAGTTGCTTGATGCTTTCTGGCCTGTTGATGGTGCGGACCGTGCTTGCCGTGGCAGCTCCCGTGAGGACCTCCAGCCCAGCTACTACACGTCCGTGGGCCCAGACAAGGCCGCATCTCTCGAAGCATGCAAGAGTCTATGCGTCCGGACATCCGGCTGCAATGCCATCCAGTTCACATCCATGGAGTGCCAGCTGTGGACACGAAGCGGCGGTGTGGAGGCCACAATTGCACAGACGGGCTCGTCTTGCCTCCTCTTCCGTCCCTTTCGCACCGTGGACGGTGGCCAGGATCGTCTGTGCGCTGCCACAGGTAGCCAGCCCAGCGCAATGGCTGCGGACAGCCTGAGCTCGTGCCAGATGCTCTGCGAAGGCTCGCCGTGGTGTGCTGGGATCAGCTTCGATTCTGGCGATTGCCTCGTCTTCACCGGTGAGTTCTCCAGCCAGGCAAGCCAAGGCAGCCAGTGCCTCAGCTACGAGCCCTTCGTGGCGGTGGATGGCGGGGTGGACAGGGCTTGCAGAGGCTCGCACGAAGACGACATCAGCAGCTTCTATTACCAAGACTACTCCCCAGCCGAAGCGCCGACATTGGAGCAGTGCAAGCTGCTGTGTGCAGCCACGGAGCAGTGCCAGGGGCTGGACTTCTCCCAAGACGGCTGCAAGGTGTGGACGCGTTTCGGGATCCAGACTACGAAGGCCAGCCAAGGGCACCTCTGCTTGCGCTACGGAAGTCCGGATCCTTTACTCACGGCTTCTGCTTTTGAGCCTGTGGGAGGAGGCATGAACAGAGCCTGCCGTGGCCAGGACGAGATGGATAACTTGGACAGCCACTACCTTGTCTTTACCGCATGGCCTGAGAATTCATCGATGGATGCCTGCCAAAGGCTGTGCATGAGGACCGAGGTGTGCAAAGGCATTGAGTTTCGCTTGGGTGCCTGCGAGATTTGGACCCTTGCGGATGGGATCCAGGCTTCAGTCAGCGCACCAGGAAGAGCTTGCTTCCGATACAGGCCCTTCAGGACGCTGGACGGCTTCTCTGACCGGGTTTGTCGCGGGAGCGGGGCGAGCGACACCCAGAGCAGCTACTACGAAATCTACTCTCCGCTGGAGGCTCCGAGCTTGGACTCCTGCAAGGCGCTCTGCATGAAGAAGCGGGAGACTGAGACTGCGAGCTGCAGAGGCATCGAGTACCGAGGCTGGTGCGAGGTCTGGACAAGGCTGGAAGGAATCGGAGCTGTTGCCCCTTCCCCCGGATCCCAGTGCCTGCGCTACTTGCCCTTCATCAACATTGAAGGTGGGATCAACCGAGCCTGCCGGGGTTCGGACCCACGGGATTCTTACAGCAGCTACTACAGTTTCTTCAGTGGCAGAACGGTGGATGAATGCAAGATTCTCTGTACAACAACCGCCGGATGCAAGGGTATTGAATTTCGCGATGGACGTTGTGAAGTGTGGACTCGGCGCGGTGGGATCCAGGCCTCCACGTATACGAAAGGCTCTTTGTGCATGAGCTATGGTGGGGAGGATGCTTTTGAGGACAGTCATGCCTTCACAGCTCTCAACGGAGGTTATCCCTCGACATGCCATGCAGCTGCGTTGACCGCGTTCTCTGTTGGCGTGCAGCAGGTGTCGACACTGTACAGCTGCCAATTGCGATGTGTGTCCATGCCGGGTTGTCGAGGAGTTGGCTTCGGTTCTGCAGGATGCACAGTCTGGCTGGGATCCGGAGAGCTTTCTGTATCAGACGGAGGATCCGGTACTTGCCACCGCTTCTTGCCGTTTCGCGACGTGGATGGGGGCGAAGGCCGCGCTTGCAGGGGCTTGCAGGGCCCAGAAGATGTGCAGAGCTCGTACTACCTGCAGCGCTCGGCCGCATCGTTGCAGGACTGCCAGGACCTCTGTGTGAGGCAGTCCGAGACCGATGTGACAAGCTGCAAAGGCGTCTCTTACGACTCGGTCTCCGGCACCTGCCTGTTGTGGACTCTGGCAATCGGGGCCACCGCAGAGAGCTCAACGTCGGTCTGCCAGCGCTACGAGCCTTTCGTGGAGATGGGACGGGACCGGGCGTGCAGCGGCTCCAGCAGCGACTACACGCAGTTGAGCTTCTCCCAAGCTTCGAGCCTGGACGCTTGCCGTGGCCAGTGTGTGGCTAATGTCGGCTGCACAGGCCTGGAGATGCAGTGATTGCGGAGTGCAGTCCCAAGAGACGCGGGAGCCCCGGCCGCCGCTCCCGCCCGGCCCTGCCCTGCCAGGTATCGAGTTCAGCCAGCAGCGCCTCCGATGTCGACTTTGGCTGCGCAGGGTGCAGAGCACGCTGCCTGAGCCGGGCACAATCTGCTTACGGTTTCTCGGAGACAATCGAGAGAGGGAAGGAAGAGAGAGACAGAGAGGGAGAGAGAAAGAGAGCGAGCAAGCGAGCCGGCATCTGCATCCTCCGAGGTTGGCGGTGCAGCGGCTGGAGGAGGTCGCTGAGTCGGCGGATGCCTTCCAACCGGTGGAGGGCGGCAGCGGGCGTGCATGCCGTGGGGCCGACAGCACCGACACCAACGCGGCGTACTACGACTACTACCACCCGTCAGTTGTGACCACGATGTCCGAATGCAAGGGCTTGTGCATTGAGACGTCGGGCTGCCAAGGCATCCAGTTCAGCATTCACGGCTGTCAGGTTTGGACCCGTCCGGCGGGCATCCAAAGCACCGCCCCATCGCCCGACCTGACCTGCCTCAGTTTCTCACCTTTCCGTCTCGTGGATGGCTTCACTGACCGATCCTGCCGTGGGACCAGCGTGCAGGACAATGCTCCCTCGAACTATCTGAGCCTGATGGCTCCTTCCCTCGCAGACTGCCAGAGCGCCTGTGCACAAGAGCCTGGGTGCAAGGGAGTTGAGTACAACGTCAGTGGCACGGCATGTGAGGTGTGGGCGTTGCCCTCAGGCATAGCGGCGAGCGTTGCTTCGCAGGGAACCACGTGCATGAGGTACGAACCCTTCGTTGCAGTTGATGGTGGCTTGGACAGGTCATGCCGCGGAGCACATGCAGAGGACGACTGGCCGAGTTTCTACACGGTCCACGAGTACACTTGGCTGTCTGGCCCATCCATCGAGGAATGCAAAGAGAGATGCCTGTCTACGCCTGGTTGCCGAGGCGTGGAATACACAAAAGGACAGTGCAAAGTTTGGACTCGACAGGGAGGAATCCAGTCCAGTGCTCCAAGTTCTGGATCCTTGTGCTTGCGCTTCGGTGCCTTCGATTCCGTGGAGTTGCTTGATGCTTTCTGGCCTGTTGACGGTGCGGACCGTGCTTGCCGTGGCAGCTCCCGTGAGGACCTCCAACCCAGCTACTACACGTCCGTGGGCCCAGACAAGGCCGCATCTCTCGAAGCATGCAAGAGTCTATGCGTCCGGACATCCGGCTGCAATGCCATCCAGTTCACATCCATGGAGTGCCAGCTGTGGACACGGAGCGGCGGTGTGGAGGCCACAATTGCACAGACGGGCTCGTCTTGCCTCCTCTTCCGTCCCTTTCGCACCGTAGACGGTGGCCAGGATCGTCTGTGCGCTGCCACAGGTAGCCAACCCAGCGCAATGGCTGCGGACAGCCTGAGCTCGTGCCAGATGCTCTGCGAAGGCTCGCCGTGGTGTGCTGGGATCAGCTTCAATTCTGGCGATTGCCTCGTCTTCACCGGTGAGTTCTCCAGCCAGGCAAGCCAAGGCAGCCAGTGCCTCAGCTACGAGCCCTTCGTGGCGGTGGATGGCGGGGTGGACAGGGCTTGCAGAGGCTCGCACGAAGACGACATCAGCAGCTTCTACTACCAAGACTACTCCCCAGCCGAAGCGCCGACATTGGAGCAGTGCAAGCTGCTGTGTGCAGCCACGGAGCAGTGCCAGGGGCTGGACTTCTCCCAAGACGGCTGCAAGGTGTGGAACGGCACCCAAGAGATCCAATCCACCAAAGCCAGCCAAGGGCACCGGTGCTTGCGGTACGGAAGGCGTGACCCTGTCTTGGATTCCTCGTCCTTCCGGGCAGTGGAGGGTGGCGTCGGGCGGGCTTGCCGTGGCAGGAACGAGACAGACAATCTGGACAGCCACTACTCGGTGCACGTCTTCTGGCCCGAGAATGCCAGCGTAGAAGCATGCCAGCAGCTTTGTGTGGAAACCGCTGCTTGCAAAGGCATCGAATTCCGCTTGGGAGCCTGTGAGATTTG